AACTTTCGGCCTCTGAGCCCGGAACATGAACGATATGCTTATGCAGCCCGTTGAGCAGATGAAAAAAGTCTGAAATCCACTCCTTACCGCTCTATCTCTGTAGTTTGTAACACGCTTCTTCAAAACCTCGCCTGCAGGCAGTTTTTCTTGGTCAATTTTTCTTTTCAGGTTTGTCCAGAGGGAAGCCGAGCCAAAATTAACAAACAATCTCGCGAACTATCATAAAATCTCCTTGCGTAAGATTTCAATTCATTCAAAGCTTTTGTTTTTGCTAGATAATAATGAGAGAAACGGTAATGAACGCTTGAAAACTATTGAAATCATACAAAAGACAAAGTTAGTGAAATTGTTTGTTTATTCAGGTTAGTTTTTATTTAAATTTAAAACTTGGCTAAAATGTACCGGACTAGAGTCAAACACTAAAAATGAAATGGAATAAATTTTCATATATTTTAATAATATTTTTAGTGTTTGACTCCAGTCTGGTACTTTCCAACCAAGTTTTAAATTTAACAAAGTTTCCCTCTGACTAGTGATTTTTTAATATATTTTAATAGTATTTTTAGTTTTTTTTACTCCTCTGCCTGGACAACCTGGTCGGTGATTACTGGAAAAATACTGTCCGCAGACACGGGATACTTAAAAAAACATATTACCAACTACGCAAATTACGCGCTAAGGAGTGGATTTATCAGACTTTATTAACGTGCTAAACGTTAATTTTGTGCGAGTTAGTGCGTTAGGTGTGTATCGACGGTGAAACTGCAAAAATGCGTATATCGGTTGCGGTGTTCCGAAATCTCCGCTTCTATATTTTATTTTTTGAAAGGAGATCAAAAATCAATCCAACATTTAGCTTGAAATTTTTACATATTCTTCACATGGAAAAGAAAAATGACTGAAGTTTTCAAGAAATGACCTTCAGTAGTTTTCCGTATAGAAAATGAAGTATGACAGGAAGTTTGCAACGCTGCAAACCAAAATACGCATTTCTGCAGATTCTACCATCGATATTTGGACGTATTTCTGCCTAACCAAACTATGTGCATTAAGACGTGAGCCATGAGACCCATGAGAATATATGCATGACAGGGCTCACGTCATAATGCACATAGTTCCATTTGGCAGAAATAAGTCAATTTATTTGGCTGTGCCTCTTGCGTGCAGCAGATCTATTTACGCGAGCAAACTTTTCAGACGAGTTTGAATCGAGCTTTACTTGAAGGTGTGTTGCGAGCTCAGAAAAACAACAGAAACCACACGAATAATCATAAAGCAACTTAAATAAAATTCATTTCAAAGCGTTGGGACGTAGAGATTGTTAAATGTACTTGACATTGAGTATTTTTCAAACTTTGTGTCCCATTGACGACATAAATTGGGTCGAAATCAATCTATTTGATCGGTCAACATTACGGGATCAAATGAAGTTCGTGCAAATTATATCAAATGGAAAGTTCAATTGCGTGAGTTTGAGTAAAGCTCGTAATTTACTTTTTTTTTAAAAAAAAATTCCGTGATATTAGTATCCCGGCAAAGACATCGAAGAATGCGCATCTGTTACCGTAATCTTAAGCTTTTATCATTTTTTTTTTAATTATTTAATCGGGCATTGCTTAAATAAAAACTATGCGATTGCGATGAAAAAACAATGAAAAATTTTAGTCTACATGAGGACCCTCTGAAAGTTTCAGAAATCCAAATAATTTCAAGATAAACATGCGAGAGTCCATAAAATTTCAGTACATTAACCAAAGTTCATTCAAACCTCTATAGTCCGTGCTCCTATCAGAATTTGTTTTAATGTATAAAAAACTTGGAGAAAATTGTTGTCTCTTGGCTTTTATTTGGACTACGTTTTGCAATGCGGAACAGCAATTTCTGGCTCATCTGTAAAAACACTTATGTGCCTAGGGAAATTAATGGAGCATACGTTGTTTCTAAACTGAGTCACAAATTGTTGTTCCTAATTGCAAAATGTAGTCGATTTCAAGTTCGTTAAAAACGCGACGAACTTTTAAACACTATTAAACGTTGTAACTATAAACTTGAACTTTTCCCAGAAGGGAAATTTCCGAATCAATAAGGATTTGTAAGGGTGAGTGATAAGGGTTTAAGGACTTGACGTGCCTGTTTTCTTATGGTCGGGAGAAAATTCCTGACATGAGCATCCGTGTGAATCAGATACGCTCAAAAGGGAGCAGCGGGGACGAGGAATAAGGGAAAGTGATCTTGTATTAACACTGCGTAGCCCTGGGGTTTGGCACAAAGCCATGCTTACCGTTCCCAAGGAGGGTTGCCTACCCTCAGCAAGACAACCCTCAATTAGATGAATTCCGTGCCGTGCCATGATCACAAATCTGCCGTGTTAAGGAAACACGCCGTATGAACCCTCGAATGTTGCCAAATTTCTCCTGATAATACATGTATTTTTGGAGATTTTTATTTTTGGGGAGAGTTTTGAATATTTTATTTTAAAATTTAAGAGAATATAGATTTGTTCGTCAATATAATTCTCTAGAAAATTCGAAGAAAAAGGTCCACCAATTTTTCTGAACATTTATATTTTATCAAAAGAAAGTTGGCAACGTCTGTAGGTTCATACGACGTTCTTTCCTTAGCACGGCGGAAATGCTCAGACTCCCGTCAATGTGGCAATGGTCCTGAAGGCACAAATCCCCTATGAACCCCAACGTACCCTGCTAAAACTCACTAAGCCCCAGTAAGGGGACATTTGTCACAATTTAAGAGAGAGTAAGGTAGCAACATATTTTTCAGCTCTTAAAAAAGAGTAATAGAGAGATGAAAAAAGAAGAGGATAGAATCGAAGGGTAAGTAAATAAGAGAGCCAGAAAAGAAAAAGGAGTCAGATCAGAGGAAGAGAGAGAAAAGGGAGCAGGGTTCAAGAACACGATGGGAAGCTATTTTCAAGATGGAGGGAGAGAGAGAGAAAGAGAGTGCAGTGAATTTGGGGGATTTCGGGGAGGTTAACACCGATGAATTCTGAGAATTTTTCACCGAATTCCCGGATGTGATTCGTGAGACGTCCGATGATCCTGCCGTGATATTAACCATAGGGATCCAATCGGCTTCCCGGTAATCTCTGAGATTTATGGAGATCAGGATACCCGTGAAAGTTCTGAGATTAAGCTTCATAAACAGCCCTACCAAAATCTAACGCCTCTTCTTCGTTTTGTACTAAAGAATTGACTATACTAATGACAGGGCTGAGTGCTCGGATATCTTGTATTGTATTGTTTCCTCGGTTGAGTTCATTGGCGGATCCAGAGAATTGGCAACATTGTTTTTCCTCATTTAATCCCATGGGAATGTATCGATTCTTGAAGGAGACAGGTGCTCCGACAAGAATCGATTATTTAACATTGTTTAATAGTATTAATATTATTTTGTTCAAAAATATTTTTACCAGATTGATAAATTTTCAGGAGACAATTTTAATGTCTGTGAATTTTTTTGCAATGTTTTAGGAATTGATCACGACACTGTACATTGGATTCCTTGGCCTCATTTTTAGTAGTTATTTCGTTTATCTTGCTGAAAAGGATGTAGTTAGAGCCGATGGCAAGCCTGGTGATTTCACAAGCTACGCCGATGCTCTTTGGTGGGGTGTGGTAAGTTTCTATTTCTACATCATGGCATCATTTAAAGCTGTTTCAGGCGCCCTTAATGTGCAGTAAAGCTAAGTATAGCGATTTATTCTGATTGATGATATTGAGAGATCTCTGATTTTCATTTTATCGGGAATGAGTGATCAATTTACTTTCCCTCTTGTTTTTCCGATTATTCTTTCGTTGTTTTATCTGTAAGACAGCGGATACTCGGGAAGACGAAAGAAAAAGTAAGTTGAGTATTGAAAGAATCAGTCTGTTCCCGCAGAGCCACTCATTAGCTCCGCCAGAATTAGTCATAAAATATATTGTAACTATATTTTAATGGTAAAATATACTGGCTAGTTGATAAATGCGCTATACTTTATATCACATGCGCCATGACGAGAGTATCCGAAATCGCCGATCCCAAATTATCCCATTAACGCAGGGTTACCTCGTCATTGGTTAGAATCAATTTTCAGCGCAACAACTTTCCTAAATTTATTCGTCCTAAGTTTCGGTTTTATCTTATTTTTGTCATCACTCACTGTATTGTTTTCAGATCACTGTCACAACAATTGGTTATGGCGACGCAGTGCCTCAAACCTGGATGGGCAAAATCGTAGCCTCGTGTTTTAGTGTTTTTGCAATCTCATTTTTTGCTTTACCTGCGGTAAGATTTTCATTTTTATTGTCATTTTTTTACTCTTTCCTTACACAGTAGCATTCAGAACTTCTTTTTTCTTATTGTGTCCATTATAATGGGCTCCATGCTCACCCTTATCTCAAGTAGCACAGCTTGCAGTAAGTGGCAATTACATTGTAAAAATACGTTGTAAAAATATTGCAATGCCACTGAGTGTTGTGTATGTTGCCTAGCTCATATTTGAAGGGGCCCTATTTATTGAAACTTATTGTAATGTAATTGAAATAAGTTGTAATTTTTCATTGCATTGCATATTGCCTATCTATCTGACACATGGAGCTCACTTTGTAGATTGTATAAAATTGGCATAAAGCGACTAAATTATGTAAAAAATATTACAATTTTATGGTAAAAAATTACAATTTTATTGAAATAAAATTGCAATTTAATTTCAATATTTTCGTTGCACTATGCTACTTGGGATAATGCTCGGCCTCTCATCACAACGGAGATCTTGGACTTCACGCTCACTTTAATGAGGAATAATTTTTTTCAAAGATCAAAGTGAGCAAGCATGGCGTCCAAAATTGTGAGGTGCAGATATTCTCTGACATCAGACGAGCATAAAGTCCAAACATTTATCAAGACAATTTTGGCGAGGTAAAGACGAAAACAATGTATTCTTATTGTAGAAAATTGTGTCCAAGATCTTGGTCGAGATAAGCAGGCAAGTATGTTAAGGGGGAGCATGAAGTCCAATAGTTCGGATGCGATGCTGCGTAATCCAGCGTTACCGGGCAGAGGGGAGGGGGGGTTGATAAGCGCCCGTCGTGGGTTTGACCGCGGAGCGGTCAGAGGGGTGAGCTCTAATCTGCCGTGCTTTGGAAGAACACCGTAAGAACATTCGAGAGTTGCCAAATTGCCCTTGCTAAAACGGGTATTTTTGACGACATTCACGCACATTTTCCTTTGAGATTTTCAAGTATTTTAGATTAAATTGCGTACCAAATTGCCTAAAAATTTTGGGAGAAAATATTCCCAATTCTCTCAGTAAAGTCGGGTTTTACCGAACAAAACTTGGCAACGTCTGAAGGCTCATACAGCGTTCTTCCCTAGCACGGCAGTAATAGCCTTCGATATCAGGAAAAGTTCTTTTATCTAGTCCGTTTGGAGGAATGAGAGTTTTAACTGGCAACGAACAGTTTATTGCGACTTGGCAGTAATTTTGCAAGAGAATGAAATTAACTCACATGCAACGCCCGGAATGATAAATTGACCTTTTCTACTCTGTTATTCTAGCTGTCGCTCGCCGAGATAGGGAAGGAAGGAGCTAGGATAAGGGATGAAGAGGGGGGCGGGGGTGGAGGATATCAACCAAAACGGGGTTACCGCATGTCGACGTCTCCCGATGAACTTAAAACTGAAGTTGACTGCTGAAAACCGCTAATTTTGTCGAGACTCCAAAGATCATAGGGTTGTTCATGCAATGAGGAGGAAAATTACCTTGCGAAAAGTCTTCCACAAACGGTGGGCACGAAAGCTCTATAAAAATAAATACCCATTGCAGATAAATGCTGCCGTGCTAAAGGAGAAATCCGTATGAACATTCGAGAGTTGCCAAATTTGCTTCAATAGAATGTTTATTTCTAGGAAAGTTATGTATATTTTTCCTTTATATTTTCAGAATCTAAAGGTAAAATTGCGAACTAGATTATCTGAAAAATTGGAAGGAAAATATTCGTAAGTTTACCAGGAAATTCGTGGTTTATCAAAGGAAATTTGGCAACGCCTAAAAGTTCATACGGCGTTCTTCCTTAGCACGACAGAATGGCGTGTGCTATTTCTGCTGTTCCTTGCGTTTGATGCAATCCTCACGGCAGGCTTTAGCAATTAATACCGAGAATTTTTAGTAATTTCGCAAGGTAAAAAAAAAACCGACGAATTTTTGATCTGAGAAGTGAAAAAGTATAAATTGAATTCCATCATATTCGCTAGTGACAATTCTACACTGAATGTAACCCGGAGTTCCTCTAGTTTCCGTATTTCATTCTCATTTTCCTCACTTATTGTGAGAGAATTGAAACTGTATACGTATTCTACTGCTACTTCCTCTCTTTCCTCAAAATTGCAACAGTGTGTAACAAAAAATGCCCCTTGCTTATCGCTTAACAGAGGTATAGCAGTGATCGCGATAAATAGCGATCTTATCGGTTGGTAATCGCGATTATATCGGTGGCAATATATCGAGATATTATCGCATGAAAAATTGCGATATGTGGCGATTAAATCGCTACACATTGCAATTTTTGGTTCGATAAAATCGTGATCAATTTTCGTCGATAAAATCGAGATTAAATCGCCATTTATCGCGATTTTTATTTCGAAAATATCGCGATAAATTGCACTGGTAAAAAAAGTAACCTGGATCTAGAGTCCAGACTCTTAAAAACATTGACAAGAAAAAATACTCTTGATTCAATCGGATTTTTCCTTGAATCGAAGAGCAAAGCCACTTGTTTTAATCAGATTTCCATTTGAATCAAGAGTATTTTTTCTTGCCAATGTTTTTGAGAGTCTGGACTCTAGATCCAAGCTACTTTTTTTTACCAGTGTGTGGGGCGATAAAAGCGCGATTTTATCACGATGAGATAGAGGATAATCGCTTAGATGTTGATGATCTTGGCGATTTTATCGCCGATATTTCGCAATATACAGCGATTTTTCCGTTGAGCAATGCTACTTGGCAAGCGAGAATCTCAGGAATGCGCACATTTTCTCATGGAGATTGCGATATTGGGAGTGAAATTCGGACTTTCTCGTTGTGTTCGTCATTATTTTGTGGTCATTTTCCATCAAAGTCAATCCTTACTATTCCGGCATCAATTTGCAACAAACCTATGGAATGATCACGGACTTAGAAAATGTGCCCTCATTTAGTGAAACCGGAATATGCAATATTGTCCTCTATTTTTTACAATTTTTAGCCATTTATAAGCCGGTTTCAAGCTGAATTTTATTAATTTTCAGGGTATTTTGGGCTCGGGTTTCGCGTTAAAAGTGCAGCAGAAGCAGCGACAAAAGCACTTCAACCGACAAATCCCTGCGGCTGCCATGCTCATTCAGTGCCTGTGGAGGTGCTATGCTGCTGACCATAATTTCAATAGCCAAGCAACCTGGGATGTTTACGTGAAACAAACGGGTCAAACTAAGGACAAAGACTCTCTGAGCAAAGTAAGTTTTTGAAACTCTTCAAATATCTTCTAGAGTTTATTAGCGAAATATTTTGAGCGCGCCCTTATGGAGCGTACACGCTCCCTATTTAAAAAAATATAGGTTTTCAGGTTCGCATCCTGATAACGTTCTGGGTTGATGTGATGCGTAATTAATGATTTTGCTATGGACTCCCGAAAAAGGAGCAGGGGGTGGAAATCAGCAATATTTTTTAAACAATGGCGTGGCGTGTTTTGTGATACATCGATTGATCTGCCCTTTATACCTGTGGTAAAAAATCGATTATTTAAGTGTTCTCTGCAAACACCCAGTATCGATCCTTTTCCATAGGTTTAAATGGCAGATCAATCGATATATCGCAAAACACGCCACACCGCTAATCTTAAATAAATCGATACTGTCAAATTAGCCAAGATCGTCGGGATTAGTTAGGAGGGAGGTAGTTGTTATTTTATTATATTATATATATATTAAAAAATGATTTTTACAAATGATTCATACGTTAAAAAAATTTGAATGCCTCTCGGCTTTCGGCGGTCGCAACCGTTTTATTTCGTACGTCACACTGGGGAAAAAAACACATTAGATCTAGAGTCCAGACTCTTAAAAACATCGACAAGAAAAAATACTTTTGATTCAATCGGATTTTTGCTTAAATCAAGAACAAAGCCTCTTAATTCGAGTGGATTTCCTTTTGATTCAAGCAAAAATCTGATTGAATCAAGAGTATTTTTTCTTGTCAACGTTTTCAAGAGTCTGGACTCTAGATCCAATGTGTGGTTTTTTTCTTCCAGTGCACCATATTTAAAATAATGTAATTCATTCTACGATTCAATGTAACGATCTTATCGACGGTGAAACTACCAAACCACGTATCTCGGTTTGCGACGTCGCAGACTTCCTGTCATACTTTATTTTTTAAATGAAAAACTACTTAACATCCAGTCTTGAAAATTTCTGTGATTTCTCCTCTTTGTGCGGAGAAAATTCCGTGAAAATTTCAAGGAATGATATTGATTTGATTTGGTCTACTTCAAAAAAATAAAATGTGAGCGTAGATTTTTAAACACCGCAAACGAGATACGTGGTTTGGTAGTTTCACCGTCGTTATGTAATTCATTGATGCAATCTGCCGGAGGAGGTGTGGCAAGATCGCTGTCAGTGGCGGTTGGGTGACGCTGAGCGCACAGAAGCGCCATTTAAGGGCGACTTATAGTGTAGTAATACATTCTACACTATGTCACGTTGGTGTTCTTCCGTAACTCCTCGCACAGATGTACGAGTAATCGCTATCCAATTTGTATTTGAACTCTTTTTCAGCAACTGATGAACCAAGTGACGAAGAGAGCGAGCGTTTTGGTGCGACGACGGTCTCGGAGCAGGATAGACGGGAGCAGTCGAGATGGGGGCTCCACCTCGGCCGCCGGCACAGCTCAGACGAACCCTAACCCCAACCCTAACCCCGACCCCCACGCCGCCGCGTCAACTTCGCAACAAAACCCCGAGACCGAAAACGATGTCGTCTTCTACATCGAGGAACCCAAAGCAGGTAAGCTTGGCCAAAAGTAGACTTACAACTCCAGAACTTTCAGGGACATCTATGGAAAAAAAAATCTCAATTTTATATAAGAGTATTCGGCTATTCGCCCGTAGAATGGAGATGTTGCATGTGTGAGGAATTTGCGATTTGATTGTTGATTCTTACGTACACGTTCGCGAGAAACACGATGGTGCCACTGGTTTTCTCTGAAATCAACTCCCAAGCTCAAAAAAAGCTCTCAAGTTGAGGCCAAAATGAGGGGATATCCCACGCTATGCTGAGAGTCTACCTCTACATCAAGACAAACTCTCCATGCTAAGATAGAGAGAAAATACATTAGCAGGGTTGCCGTGTTTTCAGTTTTAGAGTCACCAAATAAAGTGGCAGCCCTGTCAATGTATTTGCTCCCTATCTTTGCATGGAGAGTTTGTCTTGATGTAGAGGTGGACTCTCAGGATAGCGTGGGATATCCTCTCCATTTTGGCCTCAATTTGAGAGCTTTTTTTGAGCTTGGGAGTTGATTTCAGAGGAAACCAGTGGCACCATCGTGTTTCTCGCAAGAATCAATAGTAAGAATCAATAGTCAAATCGAAAACACACCTCACACATGCAACATCTCCATTAACCAATATCTAGAACGTCAGAAGGGTCTAATGCACTCAGAAGATAAAGCAAACACAGTGGACATTTTAAACTTTACGAAAATCGCGTTGAGCACAACAGTTCTCTGTCGTGGAATTGGTCATTCACCTTCCTTAAAAAATATCCTTGTCATTTCCAGCGACGCCAAATCGCCAACGGAGGGAACGAGAAAACATGAGCCGAGCTTTCGTGAGTCAAACCAGTTCAGTGACCGAGGCTGCCAGCGATGAAATGGATTTAGATGAGCCCGAGAGAATCACCCAGTGAGTATTATGAACAAGATTTCAGTAAGTAAAATCGTCCTAATTACATACGAAAACATCATAAAAGACGCATAATACCAAAGAAAAGGTAAATATAAGGCGAGCCTCAAGAAATTTTGTGTAAGTCTGACATTTGGGGCCACTTGCGGAAATAATATCGGCAGTAATTTGCGAGATTGGCATCCGCGATGCCTTTTGGAAATGTTTTGGCGGAACACTTGCACCACTTGGCAACGCTGTCATGACGCAACACTGCTCATCCGAACTTTGAAGATTCCATGGTAAACGCGATTATAAATGAAAAGTAGATAGAAAACCCCTGAGAACTGACAACCGCAGCGTCGCGTCGCAGCCATGCGCTGTGCCGAAAAAACCAAAACGCCTGCAACTTTTTGTGTATGCAACACGGACATCCTAAGAACACGAATAGTTGCATCCAGACTTGGCCATTGAAAAAGCCGCAGCGCCTTCAATTTTTTCTGCTCGTGTGAACAGAATTTGTCACTCATCGCATTCATACGTCGTTTTTGCACGAAGATGGGGCGTTTTGAGTTTTCCATCACATTGAAAAAGGAAATTAGTTAATGAATAATGAATTTATAAATGAAATATAGAGACTAGTTATGCGGTAATCACCCGACTGACTTTATTGGCAATTACACGCTTACTCTTCATTCAAATCCCCTCATTTAATTTACTTGGAGTTACGTGAAAATAACATCCTATTAATTATTTATAACTCGTATCATCCGTATATGGCAGCGTTACCAAAAAGTGCAATTTGCGGGACTATAAAGACGTATTTCTACCAAACGGAACTATGTGCATTATGACGTGAGCCCTGTCATGCATGTATTCTTATGGGTCTTAGGGCTCATGGCTTAATGCACATAGTTCCGCTTGAAATCCGTATCTGCGGGGTGACGGGTTTTCCTGCAGCCCGATTGTTGAAATTTATGTCAGCACGACAAGAATCGAAAATCGATATACTACACGGCACAGATAGGGCTATGTCTTGTCTTATCTTGCCGATATAGCCTGTTAAAGTTTCAACAATCAGGCTGCAGGATTCACTAAAATTCCATGTGCCTTTCAAATATTATGAATACAAATATTTCCGACTTTACCCTGGCTTTTTGGTTGTGTTTTGGCGTAGCGCCTAGTCTCTGATGAATATTCTAATCAAAAATACTTCTAACAATAAGTGCGAAGTGAGAATTGCGGAAATTTTATCTTGAGTTAAATTTCAAGATTCCTAGGATAGTGCGTGGTTTTTCACCCCGTAATATCGCTGAAATACTTTCATTTCGTGGACTATTACCTCTACATGTTTTCTAAAATTTTATTCTCATTTTCATGACGAGAATCCACCGAATGCCTGTTGAATGAGAAAAAAGTTTTATAATCTTAGCACACTGAAAAAAAAAAATCTCGGTGTCTTTACTAAGAAAAGGGTAAAATTACCAAGAATTCAGGGTTCTATTTGATCCCAGTTTTTTCTTGGTAAAATTACCATTCATGGAATTGGTAATTTTACCGAGAAATCTCGGTAAAATAATTGAACTTTCTCGGTAATTTTACTGGACGTTAGTAAAGACGCTAATATTTTTTTCCGACTGTGGTAGAATTACCGAGATAAAATGGCAAAGTTACCGGAAATTGATTACCAATAAAAGTGACATTCTTACCTGAAAAAAAGCAGTAAAATTACCGGTTTTTAGGTAAGCTTACCAGTCTGTCTAAGTAAAATTACCAATAATTGGTAAAAAAGTGAGATGGTAAAGATACCAACGGACCTTGGTAAAAACGCCGAGAATTTTTTTTCAGTGCAACACCTGATATCGCTTACCTCGTTTTTAATATCCAGACTTCGCATATTTCCGGTCGCCTATTTTTCCCGTGGAAATGAATGCGCGCGGAGCCAATGCAATACCTGTAATCTGGAATAAAACCCAGTTTTTTAAACTTAAAAAATAAGACTCATAATGCCTCGCGAACAGCGTGTAATATCCAAAAGGCATTGAAATTTCAGGCAAGATCTAGAGTGCGAGGCGGGGTATGTATACTTACATCTCGGGCGGAAGTAGAGTAGCGCCCTGCGGCCTTTGGATGAAAGGACCCCTTATGAATGACTGGAAAGCAGGATTGGATCCTGTTTTAATTTTTCGTGGGGAGAAACTCCCAACCTCGAAAATACGGGAAAATATCAAAGGGAACATCGATGTCAAAGTTAACCACTCTTAGACAAAATCGGAATTGTTGCTCAGGGGCTTGTTCCTCCTCATGAGTCGTTAAGAGCCCTCGCCCTGATGCTGCCGTGCTAAGGAAGGACGCCGTATGATCCACCAGACGTTGCCAGCTTTACTTCGATAAAAACCGAATTTTTTTGAAACATTGCGAACATTTTTCTTCAAATTTTTCGGATAATTTTGTTCCAATGCTTGATCCAAGCTGTCTGAAAATTTCAAAGAGAAATGTGAATAACTGTCCTCAAAACTACATGTTTTATCTAGAGAAATTTGGCAACTCTCGAATGTTCGTACGTCGTTTTTCCTTAGCAAGGCAGGTAGGGGTCTTTGTCCTTAAAGAAAGGCATTCCCTCAACTGCGGTATTTATTGACGGTTGGTCACGTTCATTACAAACATTCACAAGTGCAACAAAAAAATAACAAAAAAAAACTCTTGACTAAATCAGTGCTTTTACAATACTTAATAACAATTCGGGTATCGGGTAACAAAATATATAATTGCGAGTATATAACACAAGCTGTATATACGCACCCGGGAGAAAATAGTAAAAAAGAAAGCCATTTGCGTGCAAATGACTATATCTCAACTTGCCTGGCTGGCTAAAGCCAAATCTAAAATAAAAATGTTGTAACGAAGCAAGATTGAACAGCGCATCGATGGCCGAAGTCGGAAAGTACAAATTTCCGCTGCAACGTGAGGAAATCTCAACTTATACTTCACTTTTTAAAATAAACTTACCAAAATAACAAATTTCTCTTAAAATTTTCCATGAATACTCTTGATTGGATACAGTAAAGTCACAGACAATTATAGGAATAAAATCACGGAAGAAACAACTCAGCGGTGAGCTGAGTCACTTAACACTTAAGATCATGCAAATAGTGCCAACTACAGGCAGTTTCGAGAGCTGTCAAATTTCCTCAGGTACAATGTTAAATTTTGAGGAGGGTTATGAATATTTTCTCTTTACATTTTCAGATAATTTAGATCTGATGGCGAATAAAATTCTCTGAAAAATCGGAAGAAAAATATTCACAGATTTTCCTGAAAATTCATGTTTTATCAAAGGAAATTTGGAAACTTAAAAGCTCACACGGCTTTCTTCCTTAGCACGGCAGTACAGCTATAGGGTGCAGACTGTGAGGCGTAGCCCTACTGACGGCAAATGTCCTCGAGGGATTCTTTCCGCACACGACGACTTTTTTTCTGTACCCTACGACAATCATATGGTCTGCGGATGCAATACTAATTTTATTTTTCCCTGTGCACTTGCAATTAAAGTTACTAATTTTTCGTAGTGGGCCATCGATTTTTGCAATCACGCTATTACGCGATCAAATGTTGAATAATAATGGATCATATTCGATAGTGGTTCGATGTATCGTTTGGTTCAAAATAATAACCTCAAACCAAAATTGTAAGATATTCGTCAGAAAAGCTGAAAATGAGAAATGTCGTAGCAATTTCACTGCTTTTGGCTAATAAGTACTCGAACGAATCAAAAAACTATCACAAACAACCCGTTACTTAATAGACTTTTGATTCTATGTTTTTGTTTTGAACCAATCGATATCGAGCGCGTTGGCGCCTACAAACCTAACAGGGATACTTCACGCATTGCGCAAAGCGTGGAGTATCCCTGTTAGGTTTGTAGGCGCCACTTTACGCATTGCGCAATGCGTGAAGTATCCCTGTTAGGTTTTTAGGCGTCAATCACGCATTGTGGAATGCGTGAAGTCGTGAAGTATCCCTATTAGGTTTGTAGGCGCCAATCAATATAATCTCATCACCCGTTTTAGTCATCGAATACGACCTATGACTACACAACGCACTGTCACGTAATTGGATTTGTAGGAATTTTGGTGGAAATTTCTTAAAATTCAAAAATCATCGAATAATAAATTTCATATCGGCTGCAAGATCGTTCTCTTAAGCGCAGTAAATCCACCATCAAAATAAAAAAAATTAGACGGATTCAACTGTAGAGCCAGCTTAACTTCAATTTATGTTGCCTAACTTCGTCCCATGTTTTATTTATTTATTCATTATATTAGATATATTATTTTAAAGGGAATAAAGTAAAAAATGCCTTGAAATTCCCACGAAACATGCGTTAGATTATAAAGTTTCTGTTGAAAAATGTAAATACGACAGTCAACTTTTGATGTAGTTATTTAAGCTGAGTGTGGTTGGATAGAGAATTTGCAGGTGTCTGAAATGTGATGAATTTCGTATTTGAGTGGAAACTACTGAGTGAGCTGAACACGAGAATGCCCTTGGTTCATGAATTGAACAATTTTTGGAGAAGATGTGACGAAATTATCTAATCTACTAAAATACGTGGGTTTAAATGGGATATACCGCCAGATGACGTCACTGGGCGGTGCATTCTCTCACTTTGAATCTATTTTTATAGTATTTCCTATATCAGAAAAAAGTTATAAAAAATACTGTGAAATCAGCTCTTTCAGCACTTTCGTATGAAGCAATAAAAACTTTGCATGCAAATAGACCACTAGACAAGGTACGAATTTAAGCATTCTGATACATGTTTCTTAACCAGAATTTCGCATAAAAACGATTCGCGCAACGAAAATTACTGAAACCAACTCCTGATGGAGATATTAACATTTTTATTCCACATTGGTTACGAGGGATTGGAACTGCCCGCTCACAGGAAACTCAAAGCTCTGCGTGAGTCAAATCGCGCACTACAACGGTTTCAGCAAGCTTCTCAATAAAGCAATGTTTATTTCCCACCACGTATTTTTCAAACTATAACTAATTTGCTATAGCTGAGCCAAAGCGTCAAGATTGAGGTTGCCAGATTTTTTTTTTTATGGCAGAGACGTTCATATGATAACGTTTAGCGCGAGATGTGAATTACGTAGAGCATTGAGTTTTCATGAGCGGGTGGTTTCAATTCACGCACCAAGAATCATTAAATATCTTTGGAAGGAGTTGATTTCGGTAATTTTCGTTGTGCGCATCGTGTTTTACGTAAAATTTTGGTGAAGAAACACGTATTATAATGCTGAAATTCGTACCTTGTCTAGTGGTCCATTCTCCATTCTTCCGATTGCATTGTGCATTGAGCATTTCTTTATCAAAACTGGCAACGCTCATCGGAAGAGGCGGTTTCAGTTGGAGTGCATTTTGGTGTCTCCGTCGGGGGAGTCAGCGATTGAGGCTCCCGTTTTTTCAGGGCGCAACCGTGCAACAATCGCAACATGTAATTAAAATGCAAGTTTCCGAAAAATCCGCTCATGAGCGTGAACCTCACTCGCGTCGGGTCCCGCGAAGCGAGGAGTACCTCGGAGAATGTTTCAGTAACAAATTAGACGTATTTCTGTCAAACGGAACTATGTGCATTATGACGTGAGCCCTGTTATGCATGTATTCTTATGGGTCTCAGGGCTCATGTCTTAATGCACATAGTTCCGTTTGATAGAAATACGTCCAATTCAGGGTGAACCGAGCGAGGGCCAGACAAAGAGGATTTGAAACATCAACTTGCTTTTAGAGAAAAAATAAATCCCTTAATCCGCCGTACGTCACGGCTATGATTGTTTGGATTTAACACCGGATGATTTATTACATCTGATCAAAGTAAAGGATTTCGTCTTTAAAGGTTTCGGATAGGCTTATTTGTCTCGATACTGAAAAGTTAGTTGAAGTAAACAGGTGGCGATTATCGCGGGCGGCAACGCTGTTTGTCCTCTCTTTGAAATCAGTAAAAAATTGAAGATATTTAAATTTTTATTGATAAGATCTTTTTAAATTTTAAAAATTTTACTTATTTATAATTGTTTTATTAATATTTTTTATGATCTATATAATGCATTTAAATATTTAGTTAGCTAACTCTAGGTTTAACCGCAACTGCTGGCACCTAATTAGTTGGAATTCAAATAAACTCTTCTAGTAGATTGCTCTAATATTTAAATTTTAAATGTTAAATTTTTAGGTTTGTCAAATTTTAGACTTGTATACATTTAATATAATTTCTAACTTCTTTACTTCTCAGTATCTCGGCCTACTCTGCCATGCTATAAGGAAGAACGCCGTATGAACCGAACCTTCAGACGTTGCCAAGTTTCCCTCAATAAACCCAATTTACTGGGAAAATTGGGAATATTTTTTCCAAAATTGTCAGAGGATTTTTTACGCAATTTAATGTAAAGTATCTGAAAATTCCAAAGAAAAATATGCATGAGTGTCGTCAAAAATGCATGTTTTACCAGGGGAAATTTGGCAACTCTTGAAGGTTCATATGGCATTCTTCCTTAGCACGGCTGTACTAACCTAGAGGCAATTTCCCTAAAAATGTCTTAAAACTCATCAAAATTCACCAAAATACATCCCGACAAAGCACTGCGCGACCACAAAACGGCGTGGATTAAGTGGTAAGTGCCAGAAGAATCAAAACACCTGCAATTCTATGTGTATGCAAAGCAGACATCCGCGGAGTTCGAAAAGTTGCATCCAGGCGTTATAGTTAAATTCTTTAGTATTTGTCGCATGTGATAATAACTGAAGACGCTTTGCTTGTTCCTCTCACACCTTAACTTCTGATATAATGAAGAATCCCTCTGGTGACGTCACCATTAATAGCGTCTATAGGTATTCCCGCTTTTAATCAAACTTCACGAACATATTCACTAAAATTGTGTGCTAGTTAATCTTTTGGACAGACACTATTTAACAAACTATAATTTTGAGGGGGGAAATGTTCCGATGTAAACAGATTTTTAATATAGCTGAAGTTTTTCTTGTCTTTTTTTTCTTCAGTTTCAAGGGCAACCATTTGTGCAAACGGCTCACTGCTTTCATTGCCCCTGAGTGCAAATCCTGTTTTGCGCGATTGGAATTTTACCCTTTCTTGCCCTCGCTAAAATTACGCCTGATAGATTGATGGAACTTACATATTCATGATCTCTGTTTTTTTCTTTTTACAGACTAACTGACGTCCATAAGAATGCAATTCGTGCAATCAGGAAGATCAAATACTTCGTAGCTCGAAGGAAATTTCAGCAAGCCCGAAAGCCTTACGACGTCCGAGATGTAATCGAGCAATACAGTCAGGGTCATTTGAATATGATGGTCCGCATCAGGGTAAGTTTCGTATGAGAGAGTGAAAGATTCACTTTTAATGTAATGCATGAAATCCATTCGTATTTAATCATTATCTGATTTTTGTTTTCATCAAAAAAATCCCGTAGAATTCCAAGACTTTTATTGTATTTTAATATAAATCCGAAATTATTGAATGATTAACTGCATTCAATCTTGAATAATCGGTATACGTACCATGGGCCGTGGCTAGAAAGGCAAGGGATGGAGGCGTCCCCCCCCTCCCCCCAAGCCCACAGTCTATCGTTGACTGAAGGCGCAAAACACGTTTCTCGGATTATAACGTTCCAAAGCTCCATTCGTGTTTCATATCGTTGAAAGAAAAAGAACAGACCAAACTCAAAAATGTTTTTTTAAGTTGTCATGCGAAATATCCACAGAGAATTCCAAAGTAATATATTGGTTAATTTTTATTTTATAACATGATACATAATTGAAGACCTGTATACATTGCATGCAATAAAGGTACAGACCTACGCATTTTTTTAACCTTGGCCATCGATATATATGAAACTAATGGACCTAATAAATTAATTTAGAGGATCATACCCAGGGCATTGGAAACAATGTTATCAAATCGGTAAATAAGTAGTGTTCAGTTGAAAAAATTGCCTCAATTTTATAATCCACATAGTTTATTTGTATACTTTACAATAAGCAAAAATTATTGCATCGTAATGCACTGAATTTAGTTTGGTGATCGATTTAACTTCCGTAGGTTTTGTATTTTCTGAGCGGGAAGTAAAAAAAAAAAATCGTGTATAATCTTCGGAAAGTATACTAAAAAACTATTTTTGCTTATATGAGTTGAATTTGAAAATTTTTTCACTACCTATCGTATTCTATGTGAAATTTCGATCAGATAATATGATTTCGACTGCGAGACTTCCAAACCACGTATCTCATTTCCAGTGTTTAAAAATCTCTGCTCCTGTTTTATTTTTTTGAAGAGAGCAAACCAATATCATTTCTTGAAGTTGTTTTCAGAATTCGCTTTGCACGGATAAGAAAAATCACGGAGGTTTTGTAGAATTGACGTGAAGTAGTTCTCCATTAAAAAAGGAAAGTATATGACAGGATGTTTGCGACGTCGAAAAACGAGATACGTGGTTTGGGATTTTCAACATCGATTTGTGGTGTTTTGCCTTGTACCCTCTCTGGTGGTTCACTTTTCCAAGTAGGGCAAAAATAAAATAAATTAAACATTTTCATTTCCGAAGGAACTGCAAAGGCGCCTTGACCAGACACTGGGTAAACCTGGAAGCTATTTGGCTGGAATGGACAGGGCTGGCAATGTGAAACCAATGACGATTGGCGCTCGGTTATATCGAGTTGAACAACAAATGAACCAGGTCAGTATAGTCTCCATTATTTTCCCCCTTTATTGACAAACCATGAAAAGAATTTCAAAGAGGAGACAGGAATATCGCGAATTTTTTACTTCGGTCTGCAACGTTAAAAACGTATTGTCGCAAGATAATGTAGAAAAAACACCCTATTGCAGCTACAGCCCGTAAACCCCAGCATAAGAATTGTCTTCCGACTACCTACAAATTTCATGCAAAAATATTTTTTAATTTTCTTTTGAAGAAGTAAAATAAGAACGATAAGGCAGTACAGACAAGTACATGGATTTTTAGTGATCTGCTACAGTGTGCAATGGAGTCAAAAGGGTCTGTAAGATGGCTAGTGTTATTGTTCAGAGCAGAGAAAAGTCAGTTTGGGGTCGAAAATATTGAAAAATCGCCTCCGAAAACTTCCAAAACGTGGGGTCAAAAATTTGAGCCATAATATGCATTTTCAATGATGTTATGGGCGCTTGAAATGAATTTTTCCTGAGACCAGCAACAGTGCCGGAAAACGTAATCCATGTTTTTCTCAAATTCGCAATGTATCTTTTTTTAACTTAGAAATACTCTATAGGTCAATTTTTGGATCTTCTTTGCGTCAAACGATGCATGATAAACCCTTGGAAACAGTAATATTGTCATTTTCTTTTAGGTTCCCGCCAGTTCCATCTCAAAGGTACTTCACCATAATTCCATCACACTTTCTTCTAGGTCCTTGAAAATGATCAAAACTATGCCGGCAGCTCTTCTAAAATTTTTCTTGAGCAGTTTTGTTGTTAGACAAAACGTTTCTATGGATCTGGGTGTTTCCTTGGAAATTTTAAAACCACCTAGTGCGAAACACACACACATACAAAAAAAATTTTAAAAAAAAAACAACGAAAACACAATATTCGTGTCATTGCCCATAAGGATCTTTTACCAGCAGAATAAGAACCACAGAACATTTGGACGTATTCATGCGAAAAGGAACTATGCGCAAGTGGCGAGATGGGGTGTTTTCGTGGAGGCTGCATAAGAAACAATGTAAAAGTGGATATAGTTCCTTTTGAGAAAATGGCAAAGCGGGATTTGACATTAGATCAAAAGGAACTGAGCGCTAACTCACATGTGACAAGAAATGTGATATGTGACACTGGTTATGTGACACTGGACATGTGACAAGAGCCTTGAGGACAGGGCTCATGAGTTAAAGAGTCCCGCCACCGACCTCCCCGTCCTGGCTCCTCGTAGTTGCCGCTGACGTCTACGGCGCTTTTAAAGCCCCATTCATTCTTATGGCCCGAACACTAACGAGCACACCCCATCTTTCCACTTGCACATAGTTCCATATAGCATAAATACGTCTATTTGACATGTTAATGTTTATGCTTTGCCTGATGTTTTGTTCACAGTTGTACGTTATGGAACGGAAAATTGACCACCTTTCGTACCTCCTGAATCTGTACATACAACGCACCGCACCTGTACCTTCTCTGTCCGTGGCTGACCATGGCGCAGCGGGCCCCATCCCCACATGTTCTTCAACCCCTTCTACGACTGCTCCCTCGGTCACCTTCACCACAACCATCGCCGCTACTGCTACCACTGCTACTGCCCCCGTCGCCACTTCATCGTCAACAGTCGTCGAAGAAAAAGTTTGAAGATAAACTGGCCAACTGACCACCACATTTTTCAATCAGGATTGAACTCGCCGAAAAAAAAGGATGCTGACTTAACATTCTGGATGTAGTAAAGAGTGGGACAACTCACAGAACGCTGAATTTACCGCTACAGCAATTAGCGTTACATCTCGACATTGCCATAGTCACTGCTGAGGGCGATTAATTCAGCATTTTGTGAGTTGTCGCGCACTTTTTTATATCCGAAATTTTAAGTGAGAATCATTTTTTTGGTGATGGAGATGCGGAATGGAATTTCCTGTTCTTGCGGATTTTCATGAAATGTCATAAAATTTTAGGCGCTGAGTGTACAATCCCCAACGCAGAATGGAGATTAGGCACTGGCATCTGAAGTTCGACGATACATTTTTTTTTTCAATTTTTTTTCTTCAGATTCGTGACATCGAGTTGATAATCAAGCGTTTTGTGGCCTCCTAAAGCCTGTATAAAACTACAGACGACAGGTGCCAAAAGGGACCTTTTATTGGCACTAGAATTTTCAAACAATTTGTAATGGGTAAAAAAGTTTCTAAATGGAAAATTTTACTTTTTAATGGCATTGAAGACTTTAACTCAGTTTCCAAGGATTAGTGGCCCTGCTACTCTGCCGTGCTGAGGAAGAACGCCGTATGAGCCTTCAGACGTTGCCGAATTTCTTTCGAGAAAAACCGAATTTACTGGGAAAATTGTAAATATTTCCCCCAAAAATTTTCAGACAATTTCGTACCTAATTTAATCTAAAATATCTGAAAATTTCAAGAAAAAGCTTGAATTGCGTCAAAAATACATGTTTTATCAAAGGAAATTCGGCAACTCTCGAACGTTCATACGGCGTTTTCCCTTAGCATGGCAGTACTGACAGGCAAAGCGTATTCTGAAATATATGCCTTAACAAGAAGAACACTAACGCAATTAGATTCTATCACATGGATTTGCATTCAACATTAATAAAAACTTCCCTTTTTCGATTACAAGAAATATGCTCGTCGTTGTGCCTCGGCTCGCCATAAATTACGCCACCCAATTTTTTGGCTAATTTGATTCTTTCCCCTCTCCTCCCATTATCCAACCATTCAGCGTATTACCGAAGAGATTAGTGGCGCCTTTTTCGAAATCAAGTTTCCTTTATAATTTAAAAAATCCGATGTAAATTAACTGATTGATTCAAATAAGTTAGCGTATTTCGTCTTATTTTTGAAAACTGAGAGTTATGATAAAGCAGTAAGTGCAAAAAAATTGACGTCAATACAGGCGAAACACAGTAAGTCAGCATTATTCTACAAAAAAGCTGTCTCACTGCAGTAAAATGGTACCCTTTTCTTTTCCAGTTAATTTCTAATCTGAACTTTTGTTTGTTGTGTGTTCAAATCGTGACCACGCGTAAATTTAATAGCAACATACCGTTCTTTTCGGTAACATGGCAGCCTTATCAACGCTTAACCCCCCCCCCTTCCTGAATAGGTGACGTAATTTATGGACGGCCCCACAACGCTGCTGCTTGTGTGTTTCTCTGATATTATATTCTGTTCCACTCAATGAAACCCACATGAGAACCACATTCTATCCAGTATCTGTGATTAAAGCAGTTTCCTCACTGCGTCCTGTATATTCATTTTGTTTTGCAAAGCACATTGCTCTGTTGGGGAGTTGTCCGATTCCGTCCCGCATGCAGAAAATCAGGTGAATACGTGGTTGCCAACAGAGCCGGATTTACGTACTTGCCGCCCATGGGCCACCTGTATTTTTCCGCCCCCTTCTAATTCGTTAAGTGAACGTGCCAGTGGGGATCGGTGTATGAGACGCGTTTACTCGTGTTTGGCACATTTTTTGTGAAAGCCCTGTCAACACTGACGGAACTTTACGCGAAAGTTAAGTCGTCCCGTAAACCCATCCCTGTTTGGACAAGGCCTTCCATTTATAACAAACGAACGAAAAAATTATAAAAGGACAAACATAAATGTGGTTTAATAATTTCAACTTCCGCCACTGCGCCGACCGCACTGTGTTTGGCGCAATGCGTGAAGTATTCATGCAGTCTTGTAGGCGCTATGCGTTTCATGCCGACCGCCGCGCCGAGGGCCACCATTGCTCTTTGCGCCGCTCTGCTCAAGGTCAAATTCCGTGTATGGTTCCTCTCTTAACTCGACTAATTACAGGTGTTGTCTCTCGTATCACCGAAAGACGACAACATTAGAAATTGATATACTTTCACCCTCAGGAAATGAGAGATTTTGTCGCCTTTTCTCGTTTGTAATTTATTTTCTGAATCCGATTTTTTCTTCTTTTTTTGCTACCAACATTAAAAAAGATTGCAAAATTTGCCGCCCCCTACATTTTGCCGCCATGGGCCGTGGCCTATGTGGCCACCCCCTTAATCCGGCCCTGGTTGCCAAGTCGTCTTTTCATCGGGACGGAATCGGGCGATACAAATTGGGCGTTCTTTTTTAGAGACGGAATCGGACTATCGATTTTTGGGACGGGATCGAACGGTCCGGTTTTGGAACGGAATTGGAACAAGCCCCACGGTTGTTCTCGATATATATTTTGTATAGTTTGAGCATGTTAGGATGGTGTTTAACTTCTTCAATTGATTTCCACCAAGACTGGACAACCACAACTGGACGGAGTTAAACAGAAAGGAACCAAGCCACATCGGGATCAAACCGAGAAAAAGAGGTTTAAAGTTTGTCTCCTGCATAAGACTCAATGTAAAAGATAAACTTCAAATTCTGTTTCTGCAAAATTTGCTCCAACAAAAACTTTGAATTTTTGGCGATGGATAGTAGAGCAGTGGTCAAGTTCAAAACCACTCATAACTCAATTTTTTCCAAAATGTGGGTTGGTTCCTTTCTGCTTAACTCAGTCCAACTACAACTTACAACCACTACGTATATTTTAAAAAAATATTCGAAATAGCGAGGTTGTTTCATTATTGTTTTGCATGATTGCGAATTTTTGGTTTCAAACATTCTTTTTTTACTGGAAAAAAACACATTGGATCTAGAGTCCAGACTCTTAAAACATCGACAAGAAAAAATACTCTTGATTCAATCGGAATTTTGCTTCTCTTAATTGGAGCGGATTTCCTATTGATTTAAGCTTAAATCTGATTGAATCAAGAGTATTTTTCCTTGTCAATGTTTTCATGAGTCTGGACTCTAAATCTAATGTGTTTCTTTTCCAGTGTTCCTTAATAATTATCTGATCGACTTCAATTTCACGGTAAAAATTAAATTGTTGATTTACAATTCAACTGCTAAAAAAAAGTGACTGCAACGTTTCAACGTAAATTTTGCAAGAAAAAAATGCTACTTTAACCACTATTGTAAGCTAATTTAACCACGGGGTGGTTAAGGTAGCATTTTTGTGTTTTAAAATCTACATTGAAACATTGTAGTCACTTTTTTTAGCAATTGAATTGTGAAATCAGTAATTTAATTTTTTCCGTGTTCTTTCAAATGCATGGAAAATTTGCCTTACATGAACTTTCAAATCTCATTCAATAAGAGGAGAGCACTAAAAATATTTCGTCTGCAATCGTGAAGACGTGAAATAGTCCACGTATGTATACATTGTAATAAAGTAACGAATAGATTGAAGTTTGGTGCAGTGGCTCTTAGTGTACTTTCCGAGGAAATACACTATTGTGTTTATTCTTTTGTTCGCCAAGTTGACGCCGCCATTGTTAATTTATGTACATATTCTGTCTGTATCGTCATAACTATTTTAATAATCGAAAATTCAATTTAAGGACCAACTCGTTTCTGCCTTTATTTCCTTAGTGCATTTCTCACATTTTCCTCCATCTCAAAGTCCATTTTATTTCAATATCTCTTCCTAATTTCTGATGCTCTTTAAATTTCATCCTCTTACTTCTTTATTCGTCGTCTTATTTTAATTATTTCTTCGTCCTCGCTTTTTTATTTACCTGCTCCTTTGCCGCTATCCTTTCATGTTCATCATAAAATCCTTCTTTTTATTGCAAATGTTCAATACTTTTGTGAGGATTTTTTCACGTCAATGATGAAAGACAAAACGTAATTCTTGGATATTTATTTTTTTAGACTGGGCAATTCTTGTGATTTATGTTATAGACACTTTATTAACTAGTTAGCGCATTTATTAATTCTTCTAAGTCATCCTGTTTTCAAATATTTTGTGAATAGATGATTTTATATTTTCTTTCTTTTTTCAAATTATTAGAAATGAGGCAGAAATCTCAAGCGAAAAATTTCTATTAGATGCTTATGCACTTTATTTCATATCTTTTCATAGTTTTTATCCTTCAAACATAATATCAATTTACTTCTCACAGTTAGCTTATTCTCGACAAAATCGGGAATTCTTGCTGCTGACCGCTTTTCTCAATACCTACCACACAAGATTTAAGGCGATTATAATACAGTGACATTCCAAACAAAATATATTCACACGAGCGTGAAAAATTAATCCTTCTGTTTTTAGGAAGCATGCATTTTCAAAGTTCTGATACAGGTACGTTAGTCTCAACTTCTCCAACAATACACATTGGGTCAGTTACCTAATTCAAGATTTTGATAGGTGGAACCTGTGCGGTACCGGTACGACTCAACACCCTCCCCCCCCCCCACCCAAAAAAAAAAGAAGAAGAAGAAGACGAATTCAATACAGACTCAATCGTTCACTACGTCCACGCAATTGCCGCAATATCCTCCAATGTAGCTTGACAGTGAAAGTGAACTTATTAGGTCAGTCTTCGTACCTTTTGAAAAGTTTTGTATTTTACTGATGAAAACATATCACCTTATAAATGTAATAATTTCAAGTCATTTGTTCATTATCCCTTGAAATTTCTTATGAAGTTCTGACAGCACATGTAAAATTCACAAAAAATTAATTTAATCAAAATTTTAATTTTTGAACCTTCAGTATCCGTTGATTTCCAGTAATCATACAAGGATATAAAAACATGGATAACGCAAGAAATTTGACTAACTTACTTTAATTTTATAGAGACGTATCATATGATAACGTATGAGATGAGCATTTTGAGTTAGAAAATTGGTGAGTTGAACGCCAATTAAACGTACAGGTGCATATAAAATAATCGCAGCAGTTTTACACCATCGCAATCTTTTGTACATACTTTTGCTGCTTGAATACTCAGAAGCTTGATAGATCATTCCGGGAAACAAAATGTAAGTAGCTAGAATGGTTCTTCAAAATAGTTAAGCTGTATTTTTGAAGTTCCGCCTATCGCTCACTGAAAATAATATCTCTGAATTAATAGACATATTATGTAAATTGACGAAATGAAATTAGTAGAATCAAAAATAAGCATTAAATTGCAGCGTTGGGCGTGAAACCACACAGAAGCGAATCTTTGCGACACAGCAGACCTCTTGTCATACTTTATTTCCTGAGTGGAGAAGGAGGCAACGGCATTCCGTGAAAATTTCCCCAATTTTTTCCATCCGAGGAATATTCTATTAAAATTTCAAGAAAAATAGTGTTGGCTCGTCCTCTTTTTTTATTTAATTAGAGCGGAGATATTGAAACAAGAAAAACGAGATTCACATTTTTGCAGGTTCATTGTCGTCGGTAGGGCATACCTAGACCGTCTACGCCCTCTTGCCTTAAATTTTCATTATCATCTGTATCCTTCCCCTTATGCAATCTCATTCAAACAACT